AAACTACATGAAAAATGAAACAAATACTTTGATGTTTTGAGTGAAAACCCTTTGTGTGGAGGTTAGTAGTCGGTTGGGAAATCACATATGCTATAAAAGTATAAGACAAAAACAAATGATAAAACTAAACCAATCTGATCAATTTAGTAAAAGAAATCAAAACAGATGGATTTAGTTGAAACATAGAAATTCTTCTGTAATTCCTTAAGGATATTCATTACTACCCACACAGGAATAACACAATCACAATTTGGACAATATGATACAATGCTTTCATCTTATGGTGAAAACAAGGATAATTTGAACATTTTAGACAAGCTACAGTAACTGTGTACTGATCAGATTGGTACAAAGTACCACATACTGACTGTACTTTGCATACTAATACTGAAATTATGAATGATGATTTGATGAAATTATTAGTTTGAAATTATTCTGTTCTAGAGAAAGCATGAATGGTGATTCTGATGATGAAATAAGTCAACTACGAGCTGCAGCACTTTCAACCCGATCATCAAATGTAAGATTTTAATGATGCCGATCAGCCGATGCACCAATATTACTCATAAATAGTTATTCAATAGAAATATCCCAAACTTCAAATGAAATAACCTGTCTTTGTACAAATTCATCATAATATCGATAGCTTACTAACATAATTGCCTAACTCAGTTTCTAGCATTTTGAGAAAAATGCAAAAATAAGTCGGAAACATTCGAAAGTTGCTATTTTATTATAGTTCTTCTAAACATGTATAACAAAAAGAAAAGCAGAAAATGTGAAACACTGTAAAAGTTCCAGTGTAGTGTTAATGTGTGTTAAACCTGACTTAGGCATTTATACTACCCAAACATATTGCCTATGTCACACAATTGAGATAGGCAAAAACATTGCAAGCCATGTAAGCAGAGCTGTGATTGGCTAATCATGTCATTATATATGCACCCGATTAGATCGCTCAAAAGGCAGTGTAGTTAGGCAATAATCCAAAAATGGCCCAAAAGTGACATAGGCAGTTATGTTAGTAAGCTGTCGATATATCATTGACATGCAAAACTCGTCACAAATACATGTAATATCAGCTATTGTTAATACAAGAGGGCACAGAAGGAAACATTGCTACTGTACAGTATGTACTACTGAGTTAAATAATAAAATACCAAAAACTGTTACTTTTTTATCAGCTTGGTTGCAGATGCAAACATAATATCAGGCAAAAGTGTATCTGTAAAACTTGTAAACAATATATTGGAGCTGAAAAGTGAAAAATTCTCACAGTATGTTGAAACAAACAGCAATGCTTTATCTCAGGGGTGTAGGAAGCTTGATAAACTTACCCCTCTACAACGAAAACTAAAAGCAAGTCCGGATTTTGGTGGAGATTGTGGGGAAGGTGCAGCGTTCTAGCTCACAGCCCCCATGGATGTTAGAACTTATAACATACAGGGTGAGCCCATTACATGACATTAGGGCTCATGACATTACTGCAAAGTTTCTTTCGAAACATTGTATTAAAAGGATACTAATGACACAAAGATGAATGGCTATTATAACTAAGGAACGGAACGCAAAGGAACTTCTTATTCTGATTCTTAATTTCTTGTTTAGATGAGAAAAAGAAAGGTGACCTTAATAAATCCTAGGGATAATGTCACTGGAGAAAACAAACGGCAAATTATTGTGAATGCAAGGAAAGTCGTCGTTGGTACAAACTCTGATTCACAAGTGGAGTCAGGGGACAATAACACAACTACTTCGAACAACGACAATGATTCGGATTTACATTGGCCTCGAGCTGTTATGGATTCGTATGCACCCAAAAAACCAAAATTGCAAAACGACCGTAGGATCTTAAATGTAGGTGAAAAGCAAGTTAAGACTGGAAAGGACCAGAGGTTATTTACTATAAGTGAAGGGAAGAGAAACAAAGAAGAAGTTTTATTTGAGCCTGATGAGGTTATAGATTTTGACACAGATATTCGAGTTATTTTAAATGACGACAATGAAAATGGGACAAGTGTGGACGACGATGTCAATACAAAAGTTGACGTAATAGAGATTTATGACGAAGATGAATTGGAAAATACAACAGAAATAAATGAAGGAAATGATATTCATGAAAGTTCATCAAATGACGAAGCTGAGGAAATCCCATTTGCGGCGGAAAGATCGTCTGTGAGGAAGGTGGAAATAAAAAGTTCAGAACAAAGAACTGAAGGGGAAGAAATAAATGTTGAAGAAGTAGAGGAGGATGAAGAAGTAGAGGAGGATGAAGAAAGAGACAAAGATATTCAAGATATAGAGGAAGGAGATAAGGCAGGGGATGAGAAAGAACATGAGGATAGAGATGAGGAAGGACAAAATAAACAAGTGGGAGAAGTAGAGCAAGAGAAAAATGAAAAAGAAAACGGGAAAGAAGCCAAAGATGAAAAAGAAGAAGTAAAAGATGTCAAAGAAGTTGAAAAAGGGAAAAGTGGTAGTCAAAGGCAACAAAAAGATAACGAACAACTAAATATTGTCAAAGATGGAAAAAGTGCAGAAACTACAAACAAGAAGGATGAAAGTAAACAAAGAAAAACAGAAAAACTTAAATCTGAAGAAAAAGGTGAAAATCCAAAGAACAACCAAAAAACTGCAGAGATAGGGAATGCTGCAAAAGAAGAAAATAAGTCAGATGATAATAATAGTAAGGATGAAAGTAGTGGATCAGAAAGCGATTCTTCTCGCTCCAGTGATTCATCAAGCTCTTCAGGATCATCATCATCATATTCCAGTTCATCTTCTTCCTCGCGAACTTCAAGTGATAGTCACAGTAGTTCTGGTAGTGATTCAGACAGTGATGATGATAAGAAATCAAGGCATAGTAAACATAGTTCAAGACGTTCTAGTAGTCATTCAAGCTCATATTCTTACTCAACTGGCGGTTCAGCGGAGAAAAACACGATGCGATCAGTGATATCACACAAAGAGAAAGACTCCAGGCGTAGCCGTTCACCTCGACGATCACCTCGTCAATCACCACGTCAATCACCTCGACGATCACCTCGTCAATCACCACGTCAATCACCACGTCAATCACCTCGACGATCACCTCGTCAATCACCACGTCAATCACCTCGACGATCACCTCGACGATCACCACGTCAATCACCACGTCAATCACCACGTCAATCACCGTGTGGTCCACCACGTCAATCACCGCGTGGTCGGTGGTCACCTAGAGACCGTAGATATCCTGATAGACGGCGATCTTACGACAGAGATGATCGTTATGGGAGAGATCGTTATAGCAGGGATAGAGTTAGACCTTGGAGAGACGACAGCACGAGATTTTCACGCCGTAGATCCCCCCACAGCCGTTTGGGAAGGCGACCTAGCCCACTTAGGGATTATCGTAGGGATATAAATCGTAGTAGAGAACGAGACAGGCAAAGAGACACACGGTTCAATAGACCTGATGAGCGGCCTCGTCGTAGGCGTACGCATTCCAGATCAGTTGAGGAAAAGAACGATTCTTCAGACAAGAACAATTTATCGCGTACAGATGATGACTTTGTGGAAATCGATGTCAAACAAAAGCCTGATATCAGGGAATCTAGGCTTAAGAAGTCTGGACGGTTAGGAGAAAAAAGAGTCGATGCAAACGGTAAAAATGTTTATTTATTCATTTATCCATTTATTCTTTTAAATTTATCGATACCCCGCAGATCTACCCGTGTCTACTACCATGTGACAAATATAGAATATACATATAAAGACTATTTCGTAATTGTTTTGTACAGTATGAAAAAATACAATGACTGCTCAACCACAACGGATTTTTTCAACATGCTTAAGTCAGTGATGACAGAAGACACATTTATACAAGTATTTTAAATCAAATACAAAACAATGGTAACTCCTGAAGGCTCGTTTACACTTGCAATTTTTGCTGCGATTCTAGGTGCATTTGTCTTCTGATGGATGTGAATGAGTGGATAAGTTATGAATGTTCAGATGACGATACATGTACTCCGAACATTCGCAACTCATCTACTCGTTCACATGCATCAGGAGGAGAAAATCGCACTATTCCAACTAGGAATCGCAGCAAGAATTGCAAGTGTAAACTGGCCATAAAACGGTAAACATTTTGAAAAGTGTTTACCGTATTTACTCGTTTGAGCGCCGCGGCGCTCTTTAAATTTTCAGAGCTTCAGATGCGGCGCTCATTTGGGGGCGGCGCTCAATCGGGGGCGGCGCTCTTTAAAAAAATATTTTGTTTGTGAATTATGACAAGAACTTTTAACAATAAAATAAACAAGTTTTAAATGTTTTTGTCACAAAATGTCCCCATTTTGACGGCGGAAAGTTTTTACACTGCTTACAAGTTTACAAAATATCAATGTCACTGTCCTCTTCATGATCCGAGTCCAACTGCTGCATCGTAACCATTGTTGGATATGTCTCCCCGATATCAGAAGACGTAAATTCGTTGCTTTGAAAGAGGCAAGGCAATTGCTAGATAGTATACTTCAAAATAAGGTTTCCGTTTTTATATCAATTCTTAAAATAATTAAAATAAGTTAGGGTTAGGTTAGGGTTTAGGTTAAGGTTAGGTTAGGGTTAGGGTAATGGTTAGTATTAGGGTTTAGTTTTGCGTTAGGATAGTTTTTTCTACGCTATAAAAACGGAAACCGTATTTTGAAGTATACTATCTAGTTTATTAAGCACTATAGTTAAATATAGTTACACTATTAGTAGTGTATAAGTCCACAAATGTCATAGATTTAAACTTCAATTTGAAATAAAGTTAAAGTTCAAATGCGTATTCAATGCCCACTGGCATATTTAGAATTTTTTGAAGGAAATGAGGGTAATTGCTCCTGATCGGCCAGATTTTTATTTGATCGGCAAAAAGTCCTCATTGCCGATCACCATGATCGG